AAACCAAACCAAAGCAAACCAAAGCAAAGCAAAACAAACCAAACCAAAGCCAGGCAAATACAAATCACTAAAATGTCACCTCTGGATACAACTAAACTGTCACCTGGAAGCCACCGTAATACTGGAAGTTGTTTTATAGCGCCCTCTTTTGTTTGTGAAATTGAGACATTTCACACTCAGCAACTTCAGCTGTGACTTGATTTCAGTGTGTATTTGTGTGCAACAACAAACATTAAACAAATATATTGACACCAATCAACCATTCCTGGCTATTATTTTTGAGCTTTTAATGTTAATGTTACATAAAGATGTATTGCAGCAGAATATCTTCCACAGTTAAGGGCAGGGAAGGTGGATTATAACTGACAATAATGCGGTAGAATTGATTAGGCTTTTAAATAATCATCATATGCCATATTTTCTCAGGCATTTATGCATATGTGGCTGCCAATGTTTATTACTAAAAGCTGAATGTGTCATGCTGGATGTTTTGGTCAGATATTTATCACCCAGCAGTCTGCTCTCTGCTACAGGGCGCCAAGCCCACTGTCATTCCAAACACACCTGGAAACTGCTGTCACTCTGGAGTGAGGGGCCTTATCCAGGTTTGTGTTTATAGCACGGTGCAATTCTAGGAAACCTGAGGGAGTTGGGCGTACAGATAAGCAGTGGTTTAGAAGATTCCAGATCGGGTGATATCAGATGCAAACTGTCTGGCAAAGCAGTGACACTTTGCCAAGGTGATTCCGCTGTTTGTTGGCACTTGTTTCTTTGTAAATGGATTTCCAACAGAAGCTTCCAGAACATCACTGTTTTGCAAGTTTCATTTTATCTCTTATCCTAGTCATGGGAGCCTGGAGATGTTCCAGAAACCACAGTGCCCAAGGCAAGGGCCACACCATGGATGGGATGCCAGTCAGTCGCAGGGCACACACACATAAACTGTGGGAGTGATCGAGACGTGCGTGATAGAGGGCGAGCGTGTAAAGTGCACACACGGTGCGGAGATGGGATTCAATCCCCAGTGACAGTGGTTCGAAGCAGCAGTGTTGCCCATAACTGCTGTTACGAGGGCAGGCTTGGCTGTGACCTGCTCCCATGCTCCCTGTGTGCTGGCTAAGGGCGCTGCCCCCTGCTGTACAGCTACAGCAATGACGTGATAAGCGATCACTGCTCCCCACAGCGATAAGGAGGTCTTCATACTCCTCAGGTGCTTCTTCACTCCTTCCATCTGGTTTTCACGAGAAATGGTGACACGGCATGATCTCTGTACCTTTGATAGCTGACAGACTGATCTGTGTGCTGATGAGCTGATCTCGCACAGCCAGTTTTCCTCTTCCTGCTCCCTGCTTACCGCCCCCCCCCCCCCCATGGCACTACGTCTCCCCACCCAGCCGGGCCTCCTTGTTGCTTACCAACTACCCACCAGATCTGCATCCCCCCTCCTCTCTAGGCCTCCTCCTCACTCCTCCTGCTCTCTCCATACCACCCACCACCTAGCTCTTCATCTCCCCCTCCTGGCTGAGCCTCCTCCTCACTCCTCCACCCTGCTCATCACACACCCCCCAGCTCTTCATCCCCCCATCTCCCCCTCCCTGGTGGGGCTCCACCCCCCCGCTCACCGCCAGCCCCCC